CCGGATTACTCCGCCGTTGTTTTTAGATAGTTTCATCAGTCATATAATCAATTAAATAAGTACAATGACGATTATACGAATCAGAAAACAATATAGATTATATGCATATTAGAAAATAGAAATATATAAGGCGGGGCAAGAGTGGTGTTCACTATTAAAACAACCAGAACCCACTAAATCTATTATCTATGAATCCAAATTCATATACGATCTATAAACCTAAACTTTAAAAACCAAACCAATGTAGGAACTGTCTTAAGTACAAATCCGAATCTCTCGCTGCCAACACCACTAACAAGCTTGCCCTGCCTTAAAAGTTCAACTCGAAATCTCAAAAAAAAGAAGCCAGCTATTTGGTTAATACCCAATTTTTTAGGTAAATCCAGACGAAACTTTTTTTTTTTACTTCAGAAAATCGTTTCTAAGCTAACTTCCTTAATTCTGGGGTAGTGATCCGAATCGTTTAGTTGAAAATCGACTAGTTGACAACTTTCCAACTAATCGATTTAGAAATTTTTTTTTTTTTTTTTTTTTTTTTTGGGCCGTTGCCACTCCCTTTCGGGCGAGATCGATCCGTTAGGAGACCTCATTCGTAAGTTGTCCCCGGTGGGACGGGTTGCTTGTCATAAATCTTATCCCCGTTGGGACAAGTTGTTTGTAATTAAAAGCCCGCTTCGTTGCGAACCATATTGAGTTGTCCCGTGCCGCTTTTGCGAGCCCCCCGCGCAGCTACGAGAAATTGATTGAGTTGAGTTGTTGTTTGGTTTGAAGTCACTGACAGCAAAAGCTGGCCGTTCGAATGGCAGAATATCTAAGTAACTTATTTAGAAAATTTTAAACCAACTAATCGATTTACTTATAAACTAGTTCAATTCCGTGATATTCCTCCTTCTTTAGTTTGATTGGCGAATCGACAAATTTAGTCACATGATATGAAAAATCGATTAGTTGCAACTATATTTGGCAACTAATCGGTTGGCACACTACAAAGTTATAAATAAGTTACTCGAATTATCCCCTGGTCAACCCCATCTATGTAACTTTTTTCATGTACTTATTTCTACTGGACATATATCTATTTAATTT